TTCATCATAATTATCAGGACATACTTTTGCCAAGAGATTTATAAAAATCCCACTCAGCAAATAATTGCCTTGCTGTTAGGAGATAGTCAAGAGTGTTAACATACTGTCACAGAACAGAATTTAGTCAGATATTCAACATTCAATTACTTGTGTCGAGAACAGGAAAAAAAGCATGATAGTTTTTCAACCACTACAATTATGCCTCCACAAGAATTTCACTGAAAATTTTGCTAATCTCCAGCTAGAAAGGTGGATTACAGCTGGGCGATATGATAGGAGAATCATCAAAGATGGGAGAGGTCCTTATGTCAGCAGATCATGCCTATCTGATCAGAAGAAGATCAGAAGAAAGGAGACCAGCATATTGGCAGTCTAAGTGATCACTGATTAAGTGAAAATAAAGAGAGAAAGGGATATAGTTGAGGCTTGTTAAAAGAAACTCCCATGGCAAGCAAGAAAACCATTAACATAGGGATGACATATTCTAGAGCAGACATGTCAAAATGGCGATGTCACATGACGTCATGCAACGTATCAAGACAGTTTTGCCATTGGCAGCAATGGGGTGAGCGCGACTTCCACGGGATGCGCCCGACCCACGGGCTGGCAGTTTTACACCCTGTTCTAGAGCTATATGAATTTTAATATAATTTTTAACTTTACCAGTATTTAAATGTAATGATAAACAAAATTAACAGTACATCTGTATATAAAAATGGAGAGACATCAGATTTTTTCCAGTCAATATCCAAGCAATCTGCTATCTGTAGGAAATTTCACATTTTACATTTGTACTCAAAACCTAAGGATTGATCTAGGATTCTGATTAAATGCAACTTGGCTAGGTAATATTTATATTTAATGAACTTTTTGTCATGCTTATTACAATTGTATTATCCCAAGTAATAAAAGGGATAAGAAAGTCTGTATTTTTATACTTATACTATTTATAGTATATCTTCTGAGCTGCCTAGAATCTTGGAAAGTTTTATTACTTGTTTACATGTATGTTATACGTTATAACTCAATCTAAATATGGCTATTAATGTTGATTTTCCCCTAAAGAGAAGCATTTTCATAAATATGACTATAGACAGGTTTAATCTTATCGATGTTCAGTCAATGTTTCCTAGAACAGGTTACACGCAGGGTATGTTTGTTGCTTAAGGCTAAGATCTGCTTGTTTGATTTCTTATATACAGATATCTTTCAGTATATTTAAAAATTTCTCTTGAATTTAATAATAATTATGTAAGGGATATAATGTGACAATTACTTATCTAGAAATAAAACTAGAATCAAATTTTCTTAATAAAAATTAAATCTAAATTTTATATTTTTATTTAGATATTAAAATGCCATGATGTCATTGAAATATCCACACTGGAAAACTGCATTTTGCATGACCATGTCCATGTTTCAAACGTCACTGAGAAAAAGCAGTCTTTAAAATTATAATCTTGTGCCATTATGCTGAAATAGCATTTCATTTTTTTAGATTAACATTTCTCCAGTTACTCCATGTATAATTACAGCATTCCTATTTTTCAAAATCCTTCCAATATTTATGATTTTCTTTTCAACACTTTAAAAATAATTTTAATCCTTCTGATTTCATCCTTGATATCACGTTCTTTCCCACACAAATGTCTACAATACTCAATTTTTCCTCAAATTCTTTCATCACTTTCATTTTTAATTTCACTCTTTCTACTGGAACATCCACATTTAGCTCTCTTCCCCATACAAAACAAAAGTTTCATTGCCATAAAAATTGGTTTAAATTTATTCTGCTTCTTTACTCTGCATTTAATTTAAAATCTTTGTTGCTTGCATTCTCTTTAATAATCCTTTTCATGTCATTATATTTTTCTTTCAGCCCCATTTTTGCAGTGATCGTTCTCTTCCATATACTTTTTCTCATCTACCAAATATCCTTTTTACACTTTCCATCAGTTTAACTTCACATACTTTTCTGACGTTCTATAACTTAATTCTCTATACTCAGTTCCATGTAGCTTCCATATCCTCTTTCCTTGTATTTATATTCTATTTATTTTGTTAGAAGATAAATCTGTCTTCCCATATTTTTTAGTTGAGGCTTCATATTTTCTTTTACTTTTATTTGGGCATTTTTTCAGTACTTCAAAAGTGAGCAATCAACTAAAATTGGATCAACAGTCATTTCCCCGAAGTCTCCCAAAAACAGGAGAGGAAGAGGAAGCAAAATTGGGCAGAGTTTAGATTTTACCTGATTATATATCCTGTACTGCCATGAAGCATTTTAAGTATAATATATTGATGACTTTTATTGCATTATTTAAAAGTGGAAAGCAATGTGGGCACATCATTTTTGTTTTCAGATTTGGAAAGCCTACTTCAGGCAATGTAGCTACAACAAACAACTTAGCTGTTTTAAATCCAGAAACAGAGTGAAAATAAATAGAATTGTTTTATAAATCAAGGTACTAGAAATAGGTCTCATGCAGGGTCTAGCTTACTTAATGAAACCTCAAAGCTAAAATTCTAACTATTTTTGTTCTTGTTCTAATGTTATTACTGCTATTGATAGAAGCATTTGAATCAATATTTTTAATAGGTCAAAATTTTTAAAAAGCAGAATTACAACATAGACCTTGCTGAGAAAATTAGGAAAGACACCTATACACAATAAAAAGAAAGATTACATTAATTTTTCAGTTTTGTTCATTCAAGGTCCAAAACTGTATATATTTGAAGACACATCTAAAATTTGAACAAAAAGTTTATTAAAAGCTATACTCGTTTATGTTGAGCTAATGAAAACCCTAACTCTAAAGTGTAGTTTACTATTTAGAGTGTTTTCTACTGTTTTTATTTTAAAATGGCTTATTTGTTTTCCCATATTTGATTTGTCATAAAAATAAACTTTTTATGCAGTCATTGCCAAAATAATAAAATAGAAATAGTTTGTGAGAAAAAATGGTTCATATTTTTATTAATAAATATTGTCTCTAATAAAAGCAAAAAAAACATAAATAAATTCAAATTATCTTTTTCAAATCTTGTCAAATCAACAGAAATAGGTACCGGTATATAAAAAGAGATTTTTGTACTCTATGGGTGCATTTTTCAGTGCAATTATCTTGCACAAGGCAACCAGTAGGTGGAGCAGATAACATAATTTATGACTTGGAAAACATTGGAAAAGATTTTATAGCAGGTTTCTTCATAATTACAGGGATCATGAAGAAAGAATTTTCTTCAAACAAAGGAAGGCTTAGATGTGTTAGGTGTTACTTGACTAGTTATTGAAACCACAGATAAACGAAGAATGTTGATTAAAAGCTCAATATTTCATAAGTATCAAGTTTTAGAGCTTGTCATTTATTTCTCCAGGCATCATCCTCTTGTAATGCGAGTTTTAATCAAAGTACAATTTGATTCTATTTTTAACTTCTTTTCATGCTTATTTAATACTAGCTTTAAACACACTGAAAAAGTAATATAAAGGAATATAGAAAATCTGTATACTATAATGGATGCAAATAATTTCATTTTTTGAATAATATTTGCATTAACATGCTGTCCACGAGATAATAGTGAATGGGTAATACATTTCAATTTTGCAAAAATAATTGGGCATGTGGGGGGAGGTTAAAACTTGAAATGCCAGTTCTTAAGTAGTATCTCAATGAATACATTATATTTTCAGACATGATCATGATTTTTGCATGTTTATTCCAAAAACAGCTAACAAATGAAAACTACACTAAATTTGTGTAACTTTTCTTGAAATCATGCAAAACCAGATATTTTTAATTTCCACATTAATCTTAAGGATTCTGATCTGAGGTTTCCATTCTTTCCCTACTATTTAGAGGTTATTTTATATTCTAGTTAAAGTTTTAAAACAACATGATGTGTTTTTTTGTGGAGTGATTATTTTCACAGTGCTCTTTCTGGCAGCCTATGAATAATTCATTCTTAATAACATTCATGTACTAATTAGTCTTTTCTTCTGTTTCTTCACAAACAAACCTTGATTTCACTAAATTTACAATTAAAATAACTAATTTCTACTAATCAGTTCACTTTCCCATAATTAATTGCCATGCAGCTTATACAAACAAACTCCACCATTACTTATTCATGATTGATGTGACAGAGAGAAAAAAGAGGGGGAGACAATTTTGGTTATGAAAGCACTTGGCATTGTGATTGATCCTTGATTGTAGGAATGACACTTGTTAAGCAGCAAGTGCACATCCTATTATAACCCCCCCCACACACACACACTAATATTCAATAATAAATGTACTTATTAAAACTGAAATAATTGTGTTGCATTTCCTAAATATTAAGTAGGTGGTACCTACGAACGTGTTCATTCCCACTGATAAGAGTTCAGGATTAAAAAGAGGAATACCTCACATATCAAAACAGCTCTTCAGAATTGAAACATATTTTTAAGGGAGTAACTAGATTTGTCTGAATACTTTTAACAGCAATAAAGGATCAATGAAAGTAATTGTGCAGGGCCTAAAAGAGCTCCCCAGAAAGTTTTTAAAAGACATCTTAGACTTACAATTTAATTTAAACACCACAGAGAAGGAATGTAATTCGGATCCAAACATTAGTTCAATTAATTTTTTTTTAAATCAAATACCTCTTTGGCTTAATAACTAGCCTTTGACAACTGAGATAACACAACAATAAGCCAGTCAAAATGAGTTTCTAAAGTGAGGTTATGCCCTTCCTGTTGTGTTATCACAGTAGCAGATCAAACTGCTGACTTGGGCTCTTTCTGCCAGCCGTGCTAATGCTGTCTCTATGAAGCTGCTGTCACGCAGCAGACATGGTACCTGCTCTCGCCTATAGAAATGCACTAAATTGAACTCGAAGTAGTGCCTTTGTGATATCTTTTCAACAAGTCATGTCCCATTCAGCCTGCTAGTTTATCTTTGTCAAGCTAGGGGTCCCAGTGGTTTGCATGAGCTGTCAGGGACAGGTACACCAACCTGCTGAGTGCTAAGGAGGTAATGCATCTTTCGGGCTAGGTAATCCTTTTTCTTTTTTTCCCTTTCAAGAGCTTTTTTCACCTCTTCTTTCTCCTTCATCTCTGCAAACTCTTCTAGTTCTTTCCTGCATCAAAACAATTTTGCATATTACTTTTGTTTCTGAAAAATAGATGATTATAAAAATAAAAAAGTCTTTATCATAGCCTTGCTTTGCAATGATGATATGCTGACTCCATGTACTGTTTATTGAAATCATCAACTTGAGAACCTGCTAAGCTGATTTAGCAATGCAGACCTCGTTCTGTTAGAACAAAAGCAAGGCAGTCACATCCTAGTGTGCTTTAACGACTGACCTTTCAGTGTGATTCAGCTACATGCATGTTTTAGATGTTTAGCAAATAGAAGACTTAAGTGTCACAGTTAGAGAGACGTGAATACAGGGCTTGCAAGCAAGGAAATATCTGTCTCCTGTTGTTCAATAAGCCTCTGTCCATTTTTTTGTGGTGGAAGGTCCCAATGAATAGAAGAAAGATAGGAGAGTATTCTATGGGAATTTGACATTATAGCTAGTATATAAATGCAGAAAAATTCAAATAGCAGGTCTAAGAAAGATCTTTCCAGGGGCATTGTAGAACTGCTCCTTGATCAGATGAATTCAGGGTCTAGTTCAGTTAAAAATACTATCAAAGGACATCTTGCAGATTCTCTTTACCTCTTTACTCATTACTTCTTTTCTATTTTAATTAAAATATTGTACAGAAAATTTATAGAAACATTGAAGTGTCTTGAAGATTAAATGTGAATACTATTGATAATACTGTATAATGACATGCCCCTCCCCACACACATATAGCCGTACACATACATATCAAAGTAATAGTTTAATTAACATTTGTTGGTAGTGGTATTAAGAAAGAGCTAATTTAAATTAACCTTGTGTGTGAAAGACATAAATTTTGTTCAGTGAAGTATGTAGATTTAATAAATGTTAATTAAGTACATTATGACCTTTTTCTGGGCATCTTACATAAAATGCAGTATTAAAAATAATTCAATTCCTGTAGGGTAAATATTTATAATACTTCAACATATTCCAAATCAATTAAAAACAGCAATGCAATCCATATTCCATAGAACTTAATAACAGAATCCCATTATTATTAAGGGCATCTGTCTATATCTAATATATTGTAATAGGGAGTATTCAAGTCCTCTACTGTATGCAGATGGACAGTTATCAGTTTTTTCCATTTGCATATAGTACCCCTCGTTACACACCCCTTGGTTCAGACGTTCTTATGATTCTTAACAGCAAATTGTGAAAGGGACAAAAAAAAATCAAGGCAGGAAAGTGTAGTTAAATAAGTCTTCCCCCCCCCCCCTGCAGACTAATTGTGTATAGTATACTTGGAGTTTGTGATTCTCCATCTGAAGCAAAGAGAACATAGGCATACATAAGTATCATGCTGTTCTCTTTCTAATTAAGCAACATTTATGCAAAGCGTGAAAACAGAATGCAGAATGCTAAGCCAAAGAAATTAAAGGCATGAGATAATAAAATTAAAATTACAGACAAATCTAGTTTATGCTAACATCACACCTCTCAGTGCCTTTTTATCCTTGCAAACCATCGTTTACATGTTGCTTCAGATATTTATCCTTGCAAACCATATCTACATGTTGCTTCAGATATTGTCTATTGTTCTTCAAATATCACACATCTCTCCTTCCATCCAACCAGAAGGAGGGCTGAGGAGATATCTATAGACCCCTCACATCCTGGATATAAACTGTTTGAACTCCTCCCCTCAGGGTGACACTATAGGGCATTGGATGTCAAAACAACTAGACACAGGGACAGTTCCCTCCCCCCTCGCATGCCATCATTCTGCTAAACATCTAATTATTTCAGTGCTAAGGTCTATGTATATTTACCCATGTAGTGGTTATAGTATTATTATTTATCCTTCTTATTAACATCTTTACTTCCCCCTTTTATTGGTATTATTATGAAGATTATTGTTCTCTTGCTTTGCATGTACACTCAGGGCTTCTGTACCAAAGACAAATTCCTTGTATTCTGAATCACACTTGGCCAAATAAAGTTCAGTTCAATTGGTTCAATTCAATTCAATTCATATTCTTTCCTTTTCCATGTGAATGCATGAATAGACTCGTGCTTTTAAAACATGTATTTGAAAGACTTTTTCTAAGCACATATTCATGATACCATCACAGTTATCATTGATCCTTTGTCTCTGAAGCAGTGGCGTAGCGTGGGTTGTCAGCACCCGGGGCAAGGCACCCCCCCCTCCACAGTGGGCGGCGTCGGCGACCCGGTGGCTCAGATCGGATTCGCACAGCCAGCACTGCAGAGAGAGTGAGTGAGCCAGGCAGGGGCAGAGAGCTGCGAGTGCGAGCGCACCCCCCAGATGTTGCGCCCGGTGCGGCCGGCCCCCCCTGCACCCCCCACGCTACACCTCTGCTCTGAATGTCCCAATCACTTTTTCTGTACTTTCTCAACACATTCCTACCTATCAGATCATTATTTAAATAATCAGGATTATTTTCTTCCTTATGTATTAACTTGCATTACATTACACTAATTCAGAATGTTGCAAAATTCTTCCAAACCTTATTTCTGGTTCTTCATTATCATAATTCACTAGAACATGAAACTAGCACTAAAGTGTAGATTCCAACTTTCATATCCATCCAAAATCTAGATAATACCAATTCATACTTTCTGACCTTAGCATCTAGACCTTTTCCTTTTTCCTGTATACATTCAACTTCACTCCACAGACTACTTTCATTCAAACTTATTATTTCATTTCCTCCTTGACTTGGCTTCTGTTTCATTTATTAATTAATTCATAGTGTTTACCATTTATTTATTTTTTACATTCCAAGTTGCAATGTTTTAGAAGTCATGGTCATTCCCAAATGGGCCCACATATATTGACTGCTTTGCTCATCATGACATAGGTCAATTAAGCTATAGCACATAATACTTTTTAAAAAACTGATCAGATGGGATCAGCCTTAACAGGAGCAATACCAGCCTTAACAGGAGCAATACTACAGACAGTAATCCCCACTAATGATAAGGATAGCATTGGTCAGTGATATAGCATTGTTTGACCAATACGTTACAACAATGACAAAAGCTAGGGTTTACCTCAAGCATTCCTATATTGTTCTATGCAAGCTAGGATTCTAATTGAGAGACTACCCTGAAAATTAACACAGTGCCCAACTCAAAAGTACTGTATATAGAAAAATAGTGAAATAAGGCAAAAAGAATAAACATAAATAATGTCACCTTATTTTTTAAAAGCTCTGAAGAATTAAAGCTTTTAATTAAATTAAAGGTACAGGATTGAATATTTCTTTAAGAGGTTGAACCCATAACACAATACTGCATCAGTCTGGAAATCTCTTGTGTTCTTTTGGTGAGAAAGGGACAGAATAGGATACTGATAGCTAGAAGGAAATATAAGATTGAGGGGGCATTGGATAAGATAGACTGACTATAGTACTTCAATAGAATATTCACTCTTACCAGGGACTTGTAGGAGCTAACTACACACTCATGGCAGGTGGTAGAACTATTCAAACAAATATTGAAACATGTGTGAATCAACTCTGTCTAGCCAAGAACTGGAGCATATGCAGCATGTTGCAAATCTAAATATTTCAACTGCTGTGATGAGATATATTTAAGTCAAGATCACAATGTGGGAATAATTCTATCAAAACTACATAACACTCTCTAAAAATATACATGCTGTTCTGCCTGTTTTTAATTAAATATTAACCCATGATGCATAGTATATGAACACATACTAAGAAATCTTACACATTTTCCCACCAAATGTTCAAGGTAAAAGTAAAACAAACAGAAATGAATTAAAGATAGAAGAAGACATATTATTCTGTTTTGATCTCAGGATTATTATTTTTTGTTGCCGCTTACTGTTAAAGGTTCCTTATACAATATTTCATACAAGGTTACTTATGAAACGTACTGACATTTAAAAATCACCATGCTTTGCTTTTGCAGCAGTGTAATTTTTTTTCAACATAAGATTAAATTGCAAAATAAATGAATTACTTAGAATGGCATGGCCCCCATTTTACCACACTTCTCTTGAAAATTGCTTATTAATATGAAAAAGAAGTTGGAAAATAGCCTGTTTTACTTTATGCATAGCCTTTCCGGGTCTTAGTGCCTGAAGACCTGGAGTTCCTGCACATTTGAGATTGTGTTGGCAAGTGGGTACAGTGACCTTTTTGACCTGCATCTCAAGGCTATTATTAATCGCTAAGTAACCTGGTAAAGCCAAACAAATTTGTTTTCATTGAAAGGATCTCTATCTGTGTCTGAGAATTTGTGCCGTACCAAATCAACCTCATTAACTGTGTCCACTTTTGACAAAGAACTAGGAGTTGGAGAGACTGGTGACCTTTCTTTGTCCTTAAAGAGCACAGCTCAGCCCTAAAATGTGAATAAAACAAGCACTTTGCAATAATATTATTAAACATAAAACATTCTCAGGTTTTTAAACAATTACACCTGTCAACATTGGTGCACATAGCTCTTATTTAGTAATTATCTTTTTTTTTTAACCGCTGATTAGTCTTGGCAACCACTATCACTTTGAGTAGCTAATAAAAAGCATACAAAGGTATAGCTGTACATATTCACGGACACACTATTTTCATATTATGCTATTCTTCATAGATTTTTCAAATCCTCTTTATTAACTGTGAAAACTTACACGATCCAAAAGAAGTGCTTAACAACACAAAAGAAAAAATTGTTATGTATAACTAATATAACTCTAACCCTAATTACGTATGAGAATTGAGGGCTTTTCTTCAAATGTGGAATATGGACATTTCTTATAAAGTATCCAACAGTTTTCTACTTGGAAATCTGATGATAATCCACAAGCCTTTTCTCTTTACATTGATTTTACTTCTTTAAACCCATAGTATAGGAGGAAGAACAATATATATGTTCCCACATGAACATACATACAACATACAAAACATATCTAAACTGTTCTAAAGTATCATGAACTCTTAATCACAATGTCTCAAAGATAAATTATTAAA